TTTAGGCATGAAAGCCAGTGGGTGACTTTGGACCAATCACCAGGAGATGGGGAGTTCTAGTCCCACTTTAGGCATGAAAGACAGCTGGGTGACTTTGCACCAATCACCAGGAGACTGAGAGTTCTAGTCCTGCCTTAGCCATGAAAGCCTGCTGGGTGACTTTGCACCAATCACCAGGAGACTGGGAGTTCTAGTCCCGCCTTAGCCATGAAAGCCACCTGGCCGACTTTGGACCAATCACCAGGAGACTGGGAGTTCTAGTCCCGCCTTAGCCATGAAAGCCAGCTGGGCGACTCTGGACCAATCACCAGGAGACGTGGAGTTCTAGTCCCGTCTTAGCCATGAAAGCCGGATGGGCGACTTTGGACCAATCACCAGGAGACGGGGAGTTCTAGTCCAACCTTGGCTTGTGGAGAAAACAGGAGGAGGGGGGAAGATTAGGTCTATCCACTGCCTTGGTCTGCTCTGGGTCTCATCTGCTTGGAAATCCTTCTCCGGGGGACGATCACGAGTCCCACTCTCCCCCCCCCCCCCCCCCCCCCCCCCCCACCCCACTGCCAAAAACACCCCACCCAGGCCTCACCTTTCAGCATGGTCTGCTGCTGTTTGGCTGAGCAGATGAGCCGGCTGATGCCGTCAATCATTTGGCTCTTGGAATCGACTTCTCTCTCTTTGGGTTTCTTGCTCAGGAAAATGGTGGGGACTAGGAGGAGGAGAAAGAGACCCCCACATCAGTTGGGGACAACTCGGCGCCGCCAGAAAGCGACAAGAATGGGGGTCAGCGTTCCAGCAACCCTCCCACTCCAACCAGTAACTCTTGAGACAGGCCTCTTTCTCAAAAGTTCTGTTTTAATTGGATAGTAAACTGGCACGTCTGGGGGAAATCCCAAATCTGAAAGTTCCGGGCTTCCTTGCAATAAATAATAAATAATAAATAAATAAATTGCACTAAATAAAAACTACAAATCCCTGCACCCATCATCATCGTCATATCACATGGCCCATTTCTGCACCTGACTGAGAGCGTGTCTCAAGTCGGGACGGACGGCCCAATCCCCATCCGTCCCAACTTGAGACTTCCTCTCACCCAGGTGCAGAAATCACATGACCTTGAATTAGAAAAAAAAGAATGTTATGACGTCTAACTACCTACACTCCCGAGAAAACTCCCTCCTCCCACTTTCCCAGGCTCAAAATGTGGCAGCATGGGAGCAGCATGGTCTCAATACGGCTTCCAAAGCTGGACAACAGGATGATCCCTTTGGACAAAGGCCGCAGGGGGCTAGTCCTCAAGGATCCTTGGGGAGGGAGTGTGGGGCAACCTAAGTGGCCACCCTTCGGGGAATCCCGCCAGGTGCTTCTCCAGGTGGAGGGAGGGAGAGAGAGAGAGAGGGAGCTTCTGTCCTCCATCCCCTACCCTTCTTGTTCTTCTCCTTAGTGACGACCGTCATAGCCATGGTCCCCGAGGGCTGGGTCTCCCCGCTGTTGGGAAGCCGCGAGACTTGGACCGAACGGAAGACGCTCTTCAAGGTATTCTTGGAGCTGCTGTCTTTCTTCTCCCCTTCCTTCCTCTTCTCCGTGGGATGAGCCAGCCAGTAATCCACCTGGAGGCCAATCACATCACTGTAAGGGCTGCTGGGAGACCTGGGGAAGAAGAAAGGAGGAAGAAGAGCGGGCAGGTGAGTCGATCCGGCACTGCCAGGCAGCGCCCATATTCCACCCTCCCCTCCCCAAAAGATGACAGCAACAGAAATGGAGGAGGAAGCCTCAAGCCAGGGTGGGATGAGGGGTGAAACCTCCAGTAACCCAAGGACAGCCAAGCATGGGAGCCGCAGCGCCTAGGTTGCTACTTCCTGCCTGGAAAACAGGAAGTTCTTTTTTTTTGCCAAGCGTGGACGGGGCGGGAGGTGGCACTGACCTTGGGAGGTGGGGGGAAAGGATGCTGCCTAGGGAAGGATCAGATAAGAGAGAGCCTAGCCCACAGCTGTATAACGGGCAGAGAAAGAGACTCAGAAAGGAGCCGCCGTAACTTCTCAGGCTGGAAAAGAGACAGCGGGAGATGGGTGCTTTTCAGACGTGCGAGGTTCGGTTAAGGAAGCCTTACAATCAAATAAGAGAATTGAAGCCCTTCTGGGCGGGTGTGTTCGTTTGTTTTTTTCCTCCCCCCCTGCCTGGTCTATATTCCAGGGCTCTTCAAAACTTGACAGCTTTCAGACTTGTGGACTCCAACTCCCAGAATTCCTCCTCCTCCAGTCATGTTAGCTCAGGAATTCTGGGAGTTGGAAGTCCGCAAGTCTTAAAACTTGCCAAGTTTGAAGGCCCTTGGGTCACACAAAGGCTAAACATGGTGTGTTACTATTGCTCTTTCTTTTACAGGGGTCATTCTTTCTCCTCACAAGATCCCGAGGAGGAAGGTGATGTTTCGGGGGGATCTCTTGGTGGCCTCCTGTCCCAACAGCCAACGAGCCTGAGATTT